TGTGTGTGTGTGTGTGTGTGTGTGTGTGTGTGTGTGTGTGTGTGTGTGTAGATGATATGACTGAACAGATGGTATAATTAATAAGTTCAGAAAAGCAACATTTTTACATTTGGAAAGAGGCTGTTTTCCCTACTGTTTGGGCTATGCTAAGCTAAGCTAAGCTAACCATGCTAAACGTATTACTAACCTACTAAAAAATTTGAATTTCTTTAAATATGAAAAAGTAACATAACTTTTGCGTTAACATTGTCTAGCTTATGCAAGTTTCTGGCATGTTGTCATGTATACATTGTTTGAGAGTTTTTGGTCATATTGGTTGTGCCACAGCCACATACAGCCACCGGTCATGAGGGAAAACTCTGTATAAACAGCCTGGTTGGAGATTGGTTGTTGGAAGTTGCTGGCTGGCACTAGGTAATTTTAGTTACAAAGATGTGGCTTTGGCCATTAATGTGTATGATACCAAATTTTCCACAAACATTTGCTAACTACTTGCCAAGTGATAGCAAAGCTTGAAAACTATAAAAGTAAAGCGTTTGCCTTCTAAATAAAAGTTGCGTCTCAGCACAGGCTCCATTTCTGGTCCGTGTTACATTTTTCACTACTGCACAGAGAGTAGCTAGTTAGTATTTTCAGATAAGCCGGTGTGCTTTATACAAACTACGGAAGACCGCGACAATCTGCTAGTGACTAGTAATTGTCAGGTTGTCACTGGCTGGTTTCTAAGCCTGGATGATTGGTTCTTAGCAATCGATTTCACAGCAAATGCAGGTTAGGGAATACATTTGCTTGATGGTCATGGACCGGTCTCTAAGTCTATGTGACTGGTGCCTTATTCACCCGATCCTACATTGCCACATGTCCAAAATGGTGGACATGTTAAAATGATGCGGTTAGTGGTCACAAGTTTGCAAAACCTCAATACTATTTAGTAATAAAAGATTAACAGATCACCAGACAATGAATTAATATCTACATGAGATCATTAAAACCTTGGCGCTCTCCCACAATATAAGTTGAAAACCGCTCACATGTCCCAGTGTCAGTGATTATGAATTTTTTCCCAGATGTATAATTCAGATCCACAATACTGCATATACGAAACAAAAACCTTCATCTATGCTTTCACTAGAAACAAAACAGGTAGTTATGCATTTCACTGCTCCGCATCCAATAAAACCTCATTCTAGTCTAGTTTATGACCCTCCAGGCTTTTTAAGGGAAATACTGAACTTGCTGTGAGTGTCAAATTATATAGTACAGAAATTGCTATACAGCCAATATTAACATTGCAAACATAGACTCTGCTACTAGACTTTTACTGCCTGTGGGAAATAAACCGATATCTTTTAGGTGTCCTCGTAGGTCAGTGTGTAGTGGCATCACCTATTAGCAAATCACTTTGAGTTTAGTGACTGTTTTAATCGTCTCCCGGGCAGAGTTAAATGTGTTAATGGTGTTAGCGCCTGTCATGAAGCTGGCAGCTTAACTTTCCACTTCACCTCCACAGAGGAGTTGCAAACGCTGCAAACACCCTTAATATGACCGTCAGGGATACATTAAAAGTTTGTAAAAACATTTCAGCAGCGCTGCATGTAGTGTTTGATGACATCATGAAAACCTCAAAGAACCACCAAAAGAAATATAATTTCAAGTGAGTATATTACACACTTACAGGAATGGTTCAGCATTTTGGGAAATAGAGTTGACCTCAAGAATTATTCTATGTCTACCAGCTAAGCTAAGCTCAAGTTGATCGAAATAACTGAGCTTGTTTGGACTCTTTCTGTAAATAGTGCTGCCTATTAACTAGTTACATGCAGAGACAGATAACTGAATTATAAACAAAAAATGTTGATTTATTGACTGAAAAATGCATTTGAAACATAATTACTGGTCAAAAATTATTAAAAAAGAATTTACATTTGTTCTCTTTTAGCTAACAAAGCTAATGTAACATTCCTTTAGTTGAGTCTTTCCACCATGTAGGAATGCCATGTTTTGGCATACTATACTTTAAGATAAAGAGGAGTACAATGTTATAAAGTGTAGGATGGCTTAGAGAAGCCCTGACTCACTGATGATGGACTGCCAGATAGAAGAACATTCATTTCTGTAAGCAACCAGTACTGTTGCATGTGTCATTTGACAAGAATTCCTTTCAATGTTGAAAATTCACCATTGCTTTTAACCTGAAGTTAGTATAGGTTTGTAACACTACAAAGTATTGTTTGATCTGTTACCAAGTAGCAACAACCAGGGCTGAAACAGGACGAAATGTGAAAGTGCAAAAAGACGCAATTCCTTCGATGGCCACATGACGCTAGCTAACAATTTTGGTTGCTATAGCTAATTTTGTCTTCATTTATCTATCCGATTGTTGCCAACTTAGCGACCTTTTTGCTATATTTAGCGACAAATCTAGTGACAAATCTGGCGACTTTTGCTGATGTTATTGGAGACTTATGATGACTTTTTGACGTGAAAGCACATATCGCTCTTACTCTCAACAAGCAGCGGGTGCTGCCGTGGGTACCTCGCCCGTGCTATAGCACTCACAGGCGGCGGATAGTCCTTATGCAGCAGTCAACCCCAGCTGCTGTCAGAGCAGGAGATGTTCACACCTTGCTTCCAAACTCCAAATGAATCGTGCATGAGCTCCTGCCCTGACTGTAACGCAGTCAGTTCTTCTTTTACTGTTACTTTTTGTGGATCACAAGGTTTAAAACTACTTAAACACACACACAAACACACAAAGTCGCTGCGCCAGAGTGCCTATTTCGGGTCACTTTTGCTGGTCCCAAGCCCAGATAAAGGAGGAGGGTTGGAATTCTGACATTAAAATAAACAATAATTGCTAAAATAAATTAAATTTGTAGATCTAAATATATTCTAAATGCATTTAGGGTGTTTTTTTTATTCACTTTATGTCTCTTCCACAATGTTATTTCTCCCTCCTACAATGTAGGTTACAATTACATAAGCATGACCAATTATCTTAATAGCAGTTTTCCTTACTAAGGAGTTGGCAACACTGATCTATCCCATCTTCATTTATATCTCACTGTTCAAGGTGTCAGTAAGACCTAAAGTTAGGTGTATGGCCATTGTGACGAGAGCTGTTTGCTAGGTTTAAGTCACTGAAATGGGTGTTGGTTCCTTTACATGGATTTATCTAAAAGATAATATGACCTGTTATATTTTACATCCCATTCAAGAAGTTTGTGCTTCAGTTTTGGTGAGTGACACTTACTGAATAGTTTATAAGTGCAGCTAATTAAGCTTCCTAGCATTAGCTGATAACAACTAGCCTAAATATTTGAACTTTTGCCAAAGTAAACCAAAGTGGCAATGGCAAAAATGCTAATGTTGTGACTTAAAAAAAAAACAACGAAATAAATTTTTTGTTGTTTTAATCGATTAAAACAACAATTAAGAAGCGGCACGTCTTTTTGCATCCTACCTTATTTTATACTGTCAGTTAAGGCAAGGCATTATATTTCATGTGGAATATAAGTTCAGTGGTTTATTTATCTACATATGTTTCTTTCTTAGACTGTAATTTACTCCCCAGGTTTTTCAAGTCAGCCATGACATTTAATTTAGCTTTTACAGAAAATAAAATTATCCATTAAATAACTTCTTTAGACTGGAACAAGGTGATTGCCAGGAAACTACTCTTAACATAATAAAACAGAACCTTTTTTGATTTTAGAGTCAAACTAAAGAGAAGCGCTAAAGAGCAGAACTGGTTTCAAAAATCTTTTCACAACTTTTATAATGTAATGTAAATTTAGATTGACTTTGAGTAAGAAAGTAACACTTGGGAGAACCAGACTGCCAAAGCACATAGCAGTCGAGAGAGCGAAGCCACAACTTCAAACACCGAAGGGGGAAGCCAAATGGATATTAGTGGTCTTGCTCTGCGCTGTCTCACAGATGAGTGGCAGCACCGACAGTCGCTCTATGAGACCTCTCCGGTGTAGTCCTGACAGACTGCTCCATTTCTGCATTTGGCCAAGGTTTCCACTTCTCACCCTGGGAAGAATAAAGTCTCAGACATTCTGTAATTGTCCTTGAGACTGGACTGGACATTTCCACCATGGCAAGAAGCTGAAGCGGAACAAATGGCACATTCTAGAATATGGAAATGATATTTGCGGTGTGCAGCAGCAGCCAGGGCGAGCTCCATCCAATTTTAAAATGAGGGATTTCAGCGTCTGCATGAGACTTTATTAGTAATGTTTGTAGAGGCTTTGGCTCTTGCGCCTTAGCGGATTCGAGGCTTGTCAGTTTGCTGTGCTCCCTATAGGTCTGAAAGGGCACCCAGGTGTCAAACTCCCTTCCACTTTCCCTCTAACTTTATAATTGAATCTCACAGAGCTTCTGACTTTCAGTGGAGTGCCAGAGATTTATTAATATCAGGGCGCTCCGAGGAGCCATGTGGAAATTTCTGTTCGTTCTGTTCTTACTTTACTGTACACTGTGGTGTGTTAAAAATGAACAGAGGGGAAACAGGGTAGTTAAACTGTCAGTTTGCCTCACATTCAGCATAAATCCACAATAAACAAGGAAGATGCTTTAGTAATTTCTATGGATGGGGGGAGATCCTACCATTTCTAGACTACTGTGTTGTTTTTGATTGCTGATTGATGCATCACATCTTTCTAAATTCGTGTATTAACACATACAGATATTGCATTTGTGTTAGAAAAGAAACAGGTCTCACCCATATGGTAGACAAAGTTGGTCTCTGTTTCATAGGACGATGCAGGCGAGACGACATCTCGATCACATTCGTTTGAACTGAACGACTCGGAGTGGCTTCTTCTCTTGCAGGCTGGCGCAACGCCATCGGCCTTCGCCACCATCATGTGCCGCAGGGTGTCGTTCAGGTAGCGATTCAGTAAACTGCTCTTGTACTTGGAAGGAGGGGACGTGCTGTCATCACTGTTGGCGCAGTCAGCCATGGTGAGCATGTTGCCTTGTTTCTCCAGCACGCTCTTGTGGGATGATGACCTGCTGAAGTTTGACTGGCTGATGGGAGTCTGTAAGGGACATTCTTCATCTGCAGCAAAGGAAACAAAGCTGTCACTGATTTCACACTAAATCGATTCATATCAGTGAATAGGAAATGTTACAAACTATGATTAAAAAAGAGAGACTGGGTACATCCAGTCTGATGACTTAGAAACTACTAATTCCCTGAAGGTCCTTACCCTCTGAGTCAGTGTCATCACTGCACATGCTCAGCCTCTCCGCGTTTCCCTGGATATATTTATTGTATAGTTTGATCCTCAGGGCCCAGCTCAGGTCTGGCTGCCTCACTGTGTTCTTCAGCCTTCGTCGGGCGTTTGCAAACCAGTTGGAAACCTGCACAGATGCCGCTGTGTTTTTTTTAGGACAGCACTGACTCGCATAAATCAGCACTAATACATCTTTCAAATCACTTTTGCTTCATTCTTCTTTCTTGCGTGAGCTCGTCTCACCTGTACTAGTGTCATGTGCGAGCCCAAAGCGAGTAGGACCTTCTCGGTCTTAGTCGGGTAGGGGTTGTCCCGGTGTTTGTATAACCAGTGTTTCAGGGGCCGGGCCATGTCCTGCAACACCTGTCTTTTGTGACGAACTTTTACGCCAGTCAGACGGGACCTGAAGGAGTAAGAGGTCAACAAACATTGTCCAGCATGCTTACCTGTAACCTGATTGTAGCACTGTAGCAATACTTTCGATCTACTTCACTGTCAAATTTGACTAAATTATGTCATGCAATTAATTTAATCAAAGCGTAGATATCCAAAGAAGTACAAGATCTGAGATTGCAGCATTATTTTAGATTCTTTATAGGTTTAATGTATTTTTCTGCCATCAAAAAAAAGCAAAAAAGTGATAAAATACCCATATCTTCTGTACTTCATGGCAGAGTTGTGTTCTGCGGACTCTTGGCATCGCAGCAGGTCCGCGCTCTGTCCTTCTGCTAAACTTGTCTGAGGTACGTCTGCACAGTTCAGTCTGTTCCTCTCCTCTGCTCTCCTGCCGTCGTCCAAGTGAAGCTCAGACTTCATCACAGCAACTTTGTTCATTCTTAAACGCGCCGAGTCTTCCTCAATCAACAGGTGCATCAGTAAACTCCCAGATGTAAAGAAAGGCAGTAGATTCCCATTCTTGGTAGACTTGGTGTAAAAAGGAATAGGTTAAACATAAAAGTGTCCCTTGCTTTTCTTTCGGCGCTCTCGGGAACAGACGTTGACAGACAGAAGAGGAGAATAATGTTTGAAAAGTCAGATGATGTTGTGCGAGGAGAGTTCAAATAACCTGCTGCTCTGCCGCCTATTGGCTCCCCCCACCGTCCAATCGCTTCTGTGGAGGGGTCTGTGACGCAAAGCTTGCAGAGCAGCGGTAGCACCCGACGGTTTGAGCGAGATTGCACATGAAAAGAATATCAGCAAATGCGGTCATTAGATTTACAAGTGAGATTTTTGCTTGGTGTGACTGCAGTCTGTGCTAAGCAGTTCAACATGCCCTCATATTTTCTACATGAGGCACATGATTTATGTGGACCTTGCGGTTTTAGCAAAAACCGTGTCAGCAAATAATAGTACATGTTTTACCAAGAGATTCTGGAAATTTATGCGTGTAATTACACGGTTACTTATAACCAGCAAAACCACGGAGCTGTGCCCTGTGATAGGCAGCAAATCCTGCTGTTTTCAGATGGATTTCAGTACAAATTGGCCAATCCACAGAGGCCACACAAACACAAGAAAATGACATTAAACTGTGTGTGTGTAATTATGAGTTTGTGTTGCGTCTGGGGTTTAAAGTTTTTAAAGTCTACGTATTTATTTGAGTGTCAGGACTGCATTGCATCCCTTTGCACTGTGAGTAGGGTTAATCCAAAGATAATGCGCATATTTGTTAGTGTGGGTTCCCATTTTTGAGCAACCGGGACTGTAAATAATTATGGAAACTCAGTCTGAAGGAACTCTAACATCATCATTAGTGTAACTAAATGACAACATGTGGGCTCTGAGCCCAGTATTTGAAGACTGGATGGCTCGGCTTAAGCTGTAATTCACGTATGTTTTTCCTCTAAACACTCTTATGTAAGAGTGTTTGGATATACACTGATGACTTTGCCATGCACAATCATAACTTAATAATCTTTAAGCAAACATTTGTGATAAAATGGGGTTTTGGTCATCCTGGCTGCAGTTTAAACTTTGGAAATTGTGGCTAAAATCCAAGTAGCACTTGTTCGGTGTATTAAAGCACTCTAAAAAGTCCCATCCACATTCATAATTCAGGACTATCAGCGGGGGAGGTTGAGTTTCAGTGCTTTCAAAGCTGAAAAACACATGTACCAGAAGCGTCCCCGTTAGGTGCTGTAAATTCCTTGCTCACATTCCTCGGCAGCAGTCGGAAAAGGCTACATGCTATCTCACACCATTTACTCCTGTCCCTCTGTGATATGTTCACCGGTTCAACTGTTGATATTAGCTGGGAACACGCCTACATTTGGCAGCCAGGAGACCTGTAAAAAAATCCAAGTGGAAGGATATATATCTCGCTTTGTTTGGATACTTTGGCACTTGTGTCTGTGTATGTGTCGTGCAGGTTCACAAACTCCAGGCCTATCCAAAGGGACAAACACCCAGTAAAGTGTGAAGCAGAGAAACAGATCGCCAAGCATTCTTTTTATTATTATTATTTCTAATCCGTTTGGTTCAAACAGACAATTATTGATAGTGCTGTCAAATGTTGTAGATTCTGTTGCATGCTGCTGGCGCTGTGTCCTATTTTAGCATTTCAGCATTTTTTAGCTAATTGTTTTAGTTTACAGCCTGCAGTTAGTGGAAATGAAGCAGCTCAAAGTACTCTAATTAGTTAGCAATTAACAATAAACTGACAAATTAAGTTTCTGAAGAGGATGCATTTCCCCGGTACATTCAGACATGGTGCTAACCAAAATCAAATAACTGTAGCGCCAAGATAAATAGGTAGTGCTAGCATAAAACTTAGTCTATTTCTTCAATTATTATTTCTTCAACGCTAATGATGTTATGCTCTGATGAATGGTAAAATGGTAAATGGCCTGTATTTGTATAGCGCTTTACTAGTCCCTAAGGACCCCCCAAGGCCATGAAGACAAAGCGTTAGCATGTCTGTTGATGCTTGAGCGAACTGACAAACTTTTCTGACTAGCTCATGAACGCAGTGTAGCATTTAGCGCCTAAGGAGCTAGCCATTTGCCTCTGGAGTGGTTGGACCCAAAACAGAGCAAAAAAGTTAAGGTGAAAATTCGAATTTGATTGGTTGCAAAATTGTCTTTTTGAGATTTTTGTGTTGCAAAGTTGTTTTGGGTTAATGTCAGCACAAATGAGTCAGCCAAAGACTCTCTAAACCTACAGTATTCTGCAATAAACTAAAAACCTTTCCCTTCCTGCTTTAGGTTTGTGTAAGTATCTCCCATATACTTTTACCATGTGCTTTACTGTGTCGGTTGTTTAAAAGTAATGAACGTTTCCTGCTAACAAACTAGATGTTGTTTAACATTGGTTGTATTTATTGTTACATTCTTCAAATAGACAGCTACACGACTGAGCCAAATTATCCGAGACCAATTGACATCATACTTCTGTGTAATGTTTGAAGTGGGAGCTACTCTGAACATAAAACGGCAGGTTTTCATTGGAGCACTCTGGTGTCTTTAATGGCATCATTATGATCTCAGAGGGTGCCTGCAGATTCTCAGCGGTGTGATGAAATTACACTGCCAGGCTTTGGCTCAGGTTGGGCTTCAGACCTGGCAAGAGTGTCGAGTGTTGTCTTGAGAGTCTGCATTTAAAATAGAAAATAAGAAAGAAAGAAATGCAGACATACCAGTGGATGCATCTATGCTGTCTGCGTCCACTCAGTTATGTTTGACTCTTACAATAAGCTTTCCAAAGACAAATAAATATTTGAGACTCGATGATGCTCCCTTTGCTGCTGCAGCCCGATCGACTACGTCTAGCTTCACTGTGTTTTTAAAGTACAATTTTATATGTTGTCATAACTTCTCTCCGTACGTCTACGAAGGCCTACGTCCCTTGAAAGCCATTACCGTCTCCCCACATCACACTGCTCTCTCTTCCTCGCAAACACGACATGATAGAGCCATTAACACTCCTTCACACCCAATTGAGCACACCATCCAAAAAAGAGGAAGGAAACACCACGGCTGTAGAGAAATGTAGTCATAAAAACATTGGATTACTCGCCATGTGTGAGTGAGAGGAGTAAAATTTGTACCCGACGACCAGCTGTGATGCTCAAATATGAGTATTTGTTAATGGAGTGTCACTAATGGTGAGTTTCTGCCAATTGTTTTTAATTGTCTCAATATGTTTTCGGGTAAAAGACACCTCGTTGTGGTTAATGTTCTTTAACAAAGGTGATTTTCAGAATAGAGCACTTAACAATTAGTTATTGGACCTTCTGCACCTTTGGGTCTTTGCAGTATTTGCAGCATTCTGCTGTTCGCAATCATAAAACGGTTTTTCATCTTGCTTCAGCAAAAGTTTATGATTATTATCGTGTTTGTGTCCCTGCTCCATATAGCATGTAGCTGGCAAAAAAAAGCCTCCCTGACTGCTACTAATAATATTTCTCTGGTGTACATTACAGTTAATTGAAGTGCAGCAGCTGTCAGAATAATTACATGCTGATGTTTGCGACTTGGCAGGGAGGCATTACACTCAGCCACAAGCTCTGGAGAGTTTCCTTTTTCCCCCCTTCTTCTTGTTCTTCTTCTGCAAACTGAAATGTTTTCAGCCAAATGCCAACAGAAAAGCAGGAGCAGAGACAGATGGAGGGAGAGAGAGATGGAGAGAAGTGGAGAAATGGATTCTGCCTAACTGGATGTGCACAAAAGACAATATGGAAAACTTTAGAAATCGCAGCTTTTGTTTAGCCCAGGATTAAAATATGGAATTCAGTCTTCCATGTTGTTTGTTCTAAAATGACACATTACATACAGCTATGTTATATTTTTATTAATTTGTTTTTCTTACTAACTTCATATATAAATCTCAAATCCAGCTGGGCAGATGACTACAGCTTCTCCGTGCTTTTGTTGGTGAGGAGCAGCTCCACTCTGTGGGCACCCACTGGACCCGTGCCTCCTGAATCTTCTCGAGGTCTGACCTCAGCTCTCTGAACGCAGAGGCGATATCTCCATTAACAATCACCTTGTCAAACAGGTGACCGTACTGGCGCTCCATGTTTTCAGCCAAGTCAATCATGTCCTCAAAATCCGCCTCCTGTGAAAGGAAAATAGCGTCACCAGTATCCATCAGACAACAAAGATTCTATCCCTAGATGGAGTGGTGTACAGTGTTGTGCAAAATGACTGCTCATTTCTTTATATTTTGTCAGGAGAATGGGAGATAGGTGCAGTAATGTACTGAAATGTGTAAACATAAATGGAAGTACTGGCAAAATCAGTTTGTGCAGTTGAAAGTCAATATTTGATATGACCACCTTTATTCTTCAACACAGCCTAAACTCCCTTAGGCAGCTTTCTTGTCATTTCTCTCAGTAGTCTTCAGAAATAGTTCTCCAGGCTTCTTGAAGGACATTCAAAGCTCTTCTTTGGATGTTGGCTGCCTTTTGTTGCCTTCTCTGTCAAGATGCTCCCACACTGCTTCAATAAATTTGAGGTCCAGCCTCTGGGAAAGCCATTGTATGTTTTTCTATCCAGGTGTGACTTTACTGCATTGGCAGTGTGTTTGGGATCACTGTGGTGCTGAGAAATGAAGCTGTTGCTAAACAGATGCTTTCCAAAAGTTACTGCATCATACAAATCTGACGGTTCTGTGCTCATAATTCCGTCAATTTTGACAAAATCTTCAGTACTAATGGCTAAACCCACAAACCATGACAGAGCCTCCACTGTGTTTTACAGCTGTAGCTCAACTTACCTCTCTCCTGACCTCCTCTGTCTAATATTGATGGCGATTTTAACCAAAAACTTCACACTGAGATGTCTGATGAGGTTTCAGTAAACAGTATATGGATCAACTCAAAGGCCTTTTCTGGCTTTCAGATACAGATCAACAGTTGTATATATTTTTTTAGGCTTGTCACTTCTTCTTTTGTTCTCCACTTGTCCAGTCTTTTGCAGACATACAAAAATTATGCCGGGATATGACAAGTTGTCGGCTAAGGCACAAGAAGCCTTTTCACGCAAGTTGAAAACACAGCCCTTTGAGACGAGCC